GCACAGAGAGGGCAAATTGTAGTCCTTAATACATATCTACACCACTCGTCTGTCAGTTCGTCTACTGTGGTGGCTTGCATGTTGCTGTGAAACTGGAAGCTATGCCAGTATTTCAGATACCTGCAGGGTCACCCATGGTAGACAGGGATCAGCAGAGCTTCCAGACTAAGACAGACTTGAAAGAAAGAAGGGACCATCTACTTCTCAAAGAATTGGCCAGTGAAAATCTTATGAAAAGCAGTGAAACCCTGTCTAATCTATTACTGGAAAACTTGGTGAATAGACCTGAAAGATTGTCTGATATAGTGCTAGAAGATAAGCCCCTCAGGTTGGAAGGCATTCAAAATAGAACTGGGGAAGAGCTGCTTCCTCAAAGTAAAGTCAACCTTAATGATGTGGATGGAGTAAAGCTTTCAGGGACTCCATTTGCTGATGTGGCATGACTCAAAATGGGAAGAAATAGCTCCAAAAATCCATCAATAATCAGAACATGGAATGTACAAAGTATGAATCGAGGAAAATTGGAAGTTATCAAACATGAAATGAAACACATAAAGATTGATATCCTAGCCATTAGTGAGCTGAAATAGACTGGTTATGGCCATTTTGAATGAGATGACCATATGATCTACTATGCCAGGGATGGCAAATTGAAGACGACTGGCATGGCATTCATCATCACAAAGAATATTTCAAGATCTATCCTGAAATACAATGCTGTTAGTGATAGGATAATATCTATATGCCTACAAGGAAAACCAGTCAATACTACTATTATTCGAATTTATGCATCAACTACCAAAGCCAAAGACAAGGAAATTGAAGATTTTACCAATTTCTGTAGTCTGAAATTGACCAAACATGCAAAGATGTGTTGATTATCACTGGTGATTGGAATGCAGAAGTTGGAAACAAAGAAGAACCATCAGTAATCAGAAAATATGGCCTTGGTGATAGAAATTATGTTGAAGATTAAATGATAGAATTTTGCAAGACCAATGACGTATTCATTGCAAATACCTTTTTTCAACAACATAAATGGTGGCTATACACATGAACTTCACCAGATGGAATACACAGAAATCAGATCGACTACATCTGTGGAAAGAGGCTATGGAGAACCTCAACATCTTCAGTCAAAATAAGTCCAGAAGCTGACTGTGGAACAGACCATCAATTGCTCATATGCAAGTTCAAGTTGAAGCTGAAGCAATTAAAACAAATCCATGAGAGCAAGAATATGACTTGATTATGTACCACCTGAATTTAGAGACCATCTGAAGAATAGATTTGATGCATTGAACACCAATGACCAAAAACCAGATGAATTGTGGGATGACATCAAGAACATATTATATGAAGAAAGCAAACGGTCATTAAAAAGACTGGAAAGGAAGAAAAGGCCAAAATGAATGTCAGAATAGACTGTGAAACTTGCTCTCAAATGAAGAGTAACTAAAGAAAATGGAAGAAATGACAAGATAAAAGAGCTGAACAGAAGATTTCAAATAGCAGATGCAGAAGACAAAGTCAATTATTATAATGAAATGTGCAAAGACCTAGAGTTAGAAAGCCAAAAGGGAGGAACACGCTCAGCATTTCTCAAGCTGAAAGACCTGAAGAAAAAATTAAAACCTCGAGTTGCAATATTGAAAGATCCTATGGGCAAAATATTACATGATGCAGGAAACATCAAAAGAAGATGGAAGGAATATACAGAGTCACTGTACAAAAGAGAATTGGTCGATGTTCATCATTTCAGGAGGGGGCATATAATCAAGAACCAATGGTATTGAAGGAAGAAGTTGAAGCTGCACTGAAGGAATTGGTGAAGAGCAAGACTCCAGGAATTGACAGAATACCCATTCAGATGTTTCCACAAATGAATGCAGCACTGGAGGCACTTACTCGTCTACACCAAGAAATTTGGAAGACAGCTCCCTGGCCAACCAACTGGAAGAGATCTATATTTGTACCCATTCCAAAGAAAGGTGATCCTACAGAATGTGGAAATTATCAAATAATATCATTAATATCACACACAAGTAAAATTTTACTGAAGATAATTCAAAAATGGTTGCAGTAGTACATTGACAGGCAACTTCCAGAAATGCAAGGTGGATTCAGAAGAAAACATGGAACATAGTATATCATTGCTTCTGTTAGATGGATCTTGGCTGAAAGCAAAGAATACAAGAAAGATATTTACTTGTGTTTATTGACTGTACAAAAGCATTCAAGTGTAGATCATAACAAATTATGGATAACATTGAGAAGAATAGGAAGTCCAGAACACTTAATTGTGCTCCTGAGGAAACATAGATCAGAAGGCTGTTGTTCAAACAGAACAAAGTGATACTGTGTGGTTTAAAATCAGGAAGGGAGTGCAACAGGGTTGTATCTTTTCACCATACTTATTCAATCTGTATGCTGAGCAAATAATCCGAGAAGCTGGACTATATGAAGAAAAGCATGGCGTCAGGATTGGAGGAGACTCAATAACAACCTGCGTTATGCAGATGACACGACCTCACTTGCTGAAAGTGAAGATGATTTGAAGCATTTACTGATGGAGATTAAAGTCTGCTGTATAGACTACATAGCAACATAAAGAAAACAAAAATTCTCACAACTGGACCAATAAGCAGCATTACAATAAATGTATAAAAGTTTGAAGTTGTCAAAGATTTCATATTGCTTATTTCCACAATCAACACCAGTGGAAACAGCTGTCAAGAAATCAAATGGGCAAATTTGTTGCAAAAGACCGTTTTAAAGTACTGAAGAGCAAAGATGTATCTTTGAAGGCTAAGGTATGCCTGACCCAAGCCATGGTGTTTTCAATTGCCTCATATGCATGTGAAAGCTGGACAATGAATAAGGAAGACCAAAGAAGACTGAAGAAGAGTTGATGCTTTTGAGTTGTGATGTTGGTGAAGAACACTGAAAGTACCGTGGACTTCCAGAAGAACTAATAAATCTGTCCTAGAAGAAATGCAGCCAGAATGCTCCTTGGAAGTGAGAATAGTCAGACTTTGTCTCACCTACTTTGGTCATGGGAAGCAACCATTCTGTGGAGAAGGATATTACGCTTGGTATAGTGCAGGGTCAGCAAGAAAGGGGAAGACCCTCAATGAGATGGATTAACACAGTGCCTGCAACAATGGACTCAAATGTATCAAGAATTGTGAGGCTGGTGCAGGACTGGGCAGTGTTTTGTTCTTTTGTGCATATGGTTACTATGATTCTGAGCTGACTCCACGGCACCTGATAACAACAACAACAATACATATCTGCTGAATCAAATAACATCCAACCTCCAAGAAGTACATACAGCACTTCTCTATACCTCTTTTCCCACCAAACCCCTTTCAAGAAAATATCTACATTTTGAATTGATAATAAGAAAGAATGGGAGGGGGTATGCTGGAGTGAACTATCTTCCTCAGATGCAAGGATTTAAGGAGAATCCTCTAAGCCTGGTCCATGTGTGGCTTCCACTCATCAGGTTGTGTGCACCAAGCCTAGGACCACATGGCCAGAGGGGACATGTAAGGGAGGGAAAAGGAGGGTCACTTCTACTACCCACAAGGGTCTGAACTTCTGACAGGTGTCTCCTTAAAAATGCTAGAATTAGGCCAATTTCAACATAATAATGAAAAACTTTCCCAAGGGACTGAAAGTCATTGATAACCAAGAAACTTTATCTGAATTCTCCAGCTTCTGCCTTTGGCCTGGATCCTAACATTTATGATATGTGTTTCCTCCTTGGGACTCCTGTTGGTGGCCCCTGTGCTTACTCTGATAGCTATCCTTCCAAAGGACACATCATTTGGTGTCCATCCATTCACTTATCTCCTGCTGTCAGGGTCTTTCTTCTCAACCCTCAAAATGTTCAATACTGTTGACACCCTCAGGAAACCCTTATTTTTTTCCCTTTGCAACTGCCGTGAAGGCACGGTTGGTTACTTTCACAAAAAGTCCAGGAAGATTCTATAGCAACTGGGGGACTTGGCTTTTTATGTCAGATTTCTAAGCTTCCCTGGAGACTGTGTGGGTCTCTTGAATTATGTCCCATCTGGAGTTTGCAGGGAATTAAGTTGATTCCCTCAAAGTCATCGATAATTCCCTGGAAAGTGTGCATCCGGATCCAGGCTGGGTGAGTATTCTGTATTTTAAGGGTATTCATCTGTGTCTCTGCTTCTCCACATACAACTCATCCTCAGGTGCCAGGGAGACCCTGGAGCTTTCCTAGAAGACGAGAACTGAATAGTCTTGTCTGAATAGGATGAAAATATTTACAAATATTATTTTTTCGTGTAAATGCTACCTTGTAAACTTGTGCTAGATTGTAAATCACCTTACTGCCTATTGCTGTAGAGTTGATTCCAACTCATACCTTAGCCCAGTAGAAATGCTTCAGAGCATTTGCCCTGTAAACAGAGTTTACAATCTATAATATAACTTACAGAGTGACTTGGAATGATCATCCTTGCAAGGAACTCTGGGGGAGCCAATATACTTCTGTCATCCCAGTCACACGAGTCCAGTTGCAGACAACAAGAAATAGAGGGTTTGAAGGGGATCGGTATATGTATTTCTGATCTTGAAGTTGCTTAATCATAGTTTGAGATTTCTGCATCAGCATTTTCATGTTTTGCTACAGTAAAAGGCTGTAGATGAGATAATAACTCTTACATGAGTAGTAAGAAAATGAAACACTTTCACACCAACGATGTCTTTATGGAACTTTATGGACAGGTTCCTTTGACTTATGTTATAAGAGAAACATCTGTGTAGCAAAAGGGTTGGGAAGGTCATGGTCTCTCTGTTTCTAGGACAAATAACTTGTTAGATACTGCGAATGAAAGACATGGTTAAAAACAGCCTTTCTCTTCAAAGGTAATTTTTCCTTTGCTCCTGTTAATCTTCTGGTGGTGGCCTTTCTCCCATCAATGAGGATGTATACTGGCCTGTGTGGATGTCTGTCCTTGGCACTGATGGCAAAGCCACATTTTCAAGATGCTTCTCTGCCTAGCGGTTTCATCATCCTTGTCTTCTTGCAACTGCTGTCCATGCCCACACCTGGCAACGGTAGGAAAGCATTCCCTCCCCAACACTAGGAGGATGTAAAGAAGAGACATGCCAATAGAAAATTTCAGGATTCAAGGAATACTTAAATCCTCAAAAATGAATGTGGGCATGGGTAGGAGAACTCCATCTTCTCACAAGTGGCCTAACCCAGTCCTCTTACATCTGCCTTTTTAAGGAAAAGCCGATTTTGACATCATAGTACCTGATGACCCTATTCTGGCCATAGTGGGGAAAGACACGGAGTTACCATGCCAGCTGTCCCTCAATATCAGTGCCGAGGACATGGAGTTGAGATGGTACAGGAACCAATCCTCCCCAGCCGTGTATTTGTATAAGAACGGGACGGAAGTGTATGAAGAGCAGATGGTGGAGTATCGCGGAAGAACTACATTTATGAGAGACCACATCACCCAGGGCAAAGCTGCAGTGAGGATACACAATGTCACTGTGTTTGATAATGGGACATATCACTGCCATTTCAAAGATGACAGAGCTCATACGAAAGCCACACTGTGGCTGAACGTGGCAGGTAAGGGACTTGCTTATTCAGTTATCTTGTTTCCATGGTAATCAAAGTGTAATTTTCTCTGAAAAAATTTCAGTCCCAATTCTATGTACACAATTCCCTTAAGGCTTTAGAACTTTTCGAAACATACACTTCCAAGCAAATACTATCTTTTTTTTAAGTGCAGTGTTTCCTGGGAAATGTAGTTCTTAGTGCATGGTTACGTTTTCTAACTTTTTTCTTCCCTTCATTAACCAAACCCTACTGCCATCGAGTCACTATAATAAGAGAGAGGTGAGGGAGAGAGGTAAGGAGAGAGAGACAGTGAGAAAGAGAGAGAGTATTTAAGGGAGATGAGGAGAAGTTTTCCTTAGTTCTTTGTGCTTTGAAATCAGATAAACTTTTGTCCCAATCTTGCTTCCCACAATTACTAATTTTGTGACATAGGGAATTTATTTAATCTAAACCTTTTCCTAAATCTTTTTTGTTTTGTTTTATCTGTGAAATGAGAATAATATATTTGTGAGGTATATATTAAGCAGAGTAATACGTGAAATATTCCTGGCACCCATCAAATTCTCAAGATTTTTTTTTTAAATGGAAGCCACAATAGTTGGAAAGATTAAAGTCTGTATTTCTTTCTTTAGGACTGGGCTCACAGCCCGTAATCATATGGAGAGATGACAAGGATGACAGTATGCAGGTAGAGTGCACCTCGACTGGCTGGTGCCCTCAGCCCCAGGTGGAGTGGAAAGATTTCAGGGGGAATATAATACCCTCTGTGACCAATCTGTCTGTGTCAGCTACAAGCGGGCTCTTTTCTGTGGTATCCAGCGTGGTGGTCAAGGACAGGGCTATGAAGGGCCTCTCTTGTTCCATTACCAACCCCCTCCTCCTTCAGAAGAAGGTAACTGAGAGTCACCAACCAGGTTAGTATTTTATTAAATTCTTTCCTTCATTTTAAAAACCTGGAGGAAGGTAATCATGGCCCTGGACATCAGGATCTTCTGAGAGAGCTGCAACACTGTGTATATAGCAAGAGAGACAAGAGGCACAGGTCTTTGTTCATACCCTTTCCCACAGAGACTTGACTCAGGAGGTCCTGGAAAGATGCAGAGTTTGGATGCTTATGACTAAGGTGAATTGGGGTGCCAGGAAAGCCTCCAAGAGAGCAGTGCTTTCTCAGCAAACAAGAAAGTTTCATCCCAATATTAACTTTTTTAAAATTTTTTATTTTAAAATAATTTCAAGCTTACAGAAATTTTGCCAAAAATTATGCAAACTTTACCCAGATTCACCAATTTTTACCATTTTGCCACATTTATTTCTGATTTCTTTCTACTCTCTATCTCCTATGGATCTATCCCACAGTCCCTGGGTAGCACAAACTGTTCAGCACTCGAATACTAACTGAAAGGTTGCGAAATCAAACTCACGCACATGCTCCTCAGAAGACAGTACTAACAATCTGTTTCCAAAAGGTCACAGCCTTGAAAATCGTATGAAGCAGTCTATTCTGCACACATGGGTTCACATGGAGTTGGAATCAACTCCGTGGCAACTAACAATAACATGCATCTATCTATACCTGTGTATACAAATGCATAAGTTTTTTTTTTTTCTGAATCATTTCAGAGTGGTTTGTAAACATTATGTCCATTATGCATTAATCTTTTTGTCTCTCTTAAATATTCTTCACTCATGTGACTCCCTGGAATCCCCTTTAGCTTCTTTCTCTAAAAGGTTCTGGTCCATGGTGTGGAGAATAGTCCTGTCTCTGATCCTCACAGCACTGGGAATTGTGGCAGCTGTAGTCAGCTTTGTCTTGTGTAAACAGCAAAAGGAGAAAAACAGAAAACTGCTGGATGAAGTGAGAGAGAACAAAGAAAAGGAGAACCACCTGCAAGCCAGGATTGACACGGGCGAACTGATCAACGGTGGGCAGGGGAAACAAGACTGGGGAGGGGGATGGATTCGGACCCTGCCTCAATCACTCCATAGATCCTGATATGAAACCTTGTGGCAAGCCTTTCCTTTGTGTGTCCTTAAGTACAGTAGGAATTGAATGATGTTTGTAGGTCTGATTTCTGGAAATTACCAAATAATATCCAGTAAAAATCCTACATCTCTGAAAACTCCTTTGGTTATTCTCAACTAGTTCATCTTCTGTAGGCATGTAGAATTCTCTCTTGGAGTGAGATTGATCTGAGCTTGAACCCATTTCTAACGTGCACTGGTTGAGAGACCTGGGTTTGAACCCTGACTCTCATATATGCTGACTAGGGGATTGGAGGCAAGCTCCACAAAAAGTACAGTCTTGATTTCATTGTCTATCACTGAAGGTGATAACATAACCCTGGAAGTTGTTATAGTGATCAAATACAATAGTGTGCACAGTGCCTGATACAACATGAAGATTTATAGTTACTATTTTTATCATGGGAGCTCTGGTTGTGTAGTACCTAAGACATTCAATTGCTAACCAGAAGGTTGGCAGTTCAAACCCACCAGCCACTCCTCAGAAAGAAGACTGGGCAATCTGCTTCCATAGAGATACCGCCTCGGAAACCGAAGGATGGGTTGCTATGAGTTGGAAACAACTCAACGGCAGTGAGGTTTATTATTATTATTATTATTATTATTATTATTATTAATCATCATCAATATTAAAATTTTAATTTATTAATTCACTCAACTCACTTCATAAGCTGGGGACTTGGACATAGATTCCCAGCCTCTACTTTGAAATTAAAATTTCCTTGGCAGTTAGTTATAAAGACTATATTGTTACAAACAGGAATGTTGAAGGAAAAACTTGGGCCAACAGATTATATAGAAAGGTTTCCTTAGGAGTAAAACTACCTCTCTTGTTATTTCATTGAGCATTAAAGAACATATATTTATCTTTATTTTACAGAGACACTACAAGGAGAAGAATTCAGTAAGTTCTCTTTTAATTTAGTTTTTCAGAATATGAGCTTTTATTCAATTTTGATGACCTGAACTCTACAATATCACATCTCTCTATTTCTTTGCAGGCTGGAGGATGAGTAACCCCACATATGGTGAGGGTTATTTGTGGAACCTTGGAGCTTTTGGATCCCTGACCTAACCCCCAAGGGGCAAAGAGAAACCAGAAGCACAGAGGTGATTCCATTCAAGCAGGAATGAAAGAGTGGAGTACTTATTCTAGGGACCCTGAAATCAGAGCTGGTCTCAGGAAAAAAGAAAAGGACAAAAAAGCCCTTCCTTCAACTACATACAGGTCTTGGTTTCTCTCCCTCACACACTTGTTTCTGATGAAGTGTGCAAAGTCACAGAGTTACTCTAGTACCTTGTGAGAGAAGGATGGGCAAAGGCTGCCAGAAGGCAAATCCAGACTGTTTCTGGCTTTAATCTTCATCCTGTTACTCATTCCTGCATGGTTGTGTGTGTGTGCATGCATATACATATATGTGTGCATGTATGTGTGTGTTTCTGTATTCCCTTGCATTCCAGAGTACAGAAATGCTCTGCTATATGCCACAGCCACATTCTTGGGAAAACCAGACTTTAGCTGCCCTAGTTTTTTCTTTTTTATTTTCTGGGATCCTAGATGAAACAGTCATAGAGAGTCTGTAAAGGTGATAGTCCTGCATGTGAAAGATGCTGAAAGAGTAAGCTATCCTAAACCAGGGGGCTCAGGGGAGGCTTTTACCATGAAGAACAGAGAAATCAGTGACTCCCAGTCTCTAGACATGATCTCTTTAGGTAGGAAGCATGGAGTGTAAGTAGAAGAGTCTGACTGTGGAAAGGGAGAGCCAATGAGCAGGAAAGGCCTACCTGGCCAAGAATGAGGAGGGGACAAGTGAGAGGACTAAAGAAAGGCCAGGAAGACCTCATCTGGACACAGCTACTTATTGAAGAACCAAAAAGAAGAGAGGGAGAATTCATTCATTCATTCATTTAAAATAGTTATTGAGCGTTTTTTATGCTAGCAACTGGTATATTTTAATAAATAAAATGATTTCATCTTATTCTCATGGAGCATATAATCTATTTAGGGTACAAATGATAAACCAGTGTCAGTGTTTAATTAAAACTAGAATAAATCAGGGTAATAGTATAGGAATGAAATGGGTATAATAATGAAGTTTACCAGAAGAGCATTTGTTTAAGATCATCAGGGAAGCCACTGCTGTGAGATTATGGCATTAATGCTGAGAGATGAAGGATGCAGTAGCAAGCGGGATGCTCCATGGCAATAGGAAGAGCAGGTGCAGGGGACTGTGGTGAAGAACAGCTAGGGGTGCTGGGGAGCAGGAAGGAAGAAGAAGAAATGGGCAAGAGTAAGAGAAGTGCCACATGACACTGGAAAACCTAGTAGGTTCTGGATTATGCAAAACCTCGAAGGCCATGGTGAGAAGTTTGAGTTTTACTAAAAGAGCAATGGAAAACCAATGAGAGGTCTTAAATAAGGGAGAGAGATTATTGGATGAAGAGAATCGAACAGATATGAGATGTGTCTTAGAGTTAAAAGTAGCAACATAGGAGAGGCCGGGAAGAAGGAGGAATCGAAGATGATAATCAGGTGGATGAGTAAGTGCATAATGATAGTTAAATTTACTGAAAAGGGAAAGATGCCGGATAAAGTGAGAAAGGTTTAGGCAAGAGACCTGAAAGTTCTTTCTTTCTTTCTTTCTTTTTTTAACCTCTTAAAATTGAGAGGTGAGTCTCTAGGTGGTACAAAAAGTTGACACACTCAGCTACTAACTGAAAGGTTAGAGGTTTCAATTCACCCAGAGGCACCTCAGAAGAAAGGCCTGGCAATTGACTTCTGAAAAATCAGCCATGGAAGACCCGATGGATCGCAGTTCTACTCTGACACTCATGGGGTTGCTGTGAGTTGGAGGCAACTCAACAGTCAATGTTTTGAGACATCCAAATAAAGTATTGGATAGACAAGTCTATAAGATATCACAAAAACGGTGGGGGGAGGCATAGGAGAAGGAAAAAGGACAAGACCTAGTCCTGAAGAGCTCCAATATTTAAATGCCAGGCACAGCAGGGTGAGGAGAACACTAAAAAAATGGAGAAAGTAGGAGGAACATGAAATATTTTGTCAATGAAGTCAGGAGATAAAATATATTGAGGGAATGGTCAGTTGTGTTAGAAGCAGCTGAGAAATGAAGTTAAAGGAGAGCAGAACTATGACCCTTGAAACTGGCAAGAGAGGTATTGGTAAGTGGAGGAACAAGAGAGGAGATCCACAAGTGAAGACTACTGATAGAAAATTAAAGAGTTACTGGTTTTTAGGCAGAGCTGAAAATTGGAGAGTGGGGAATCAAGGAATTTTTTTTTTAATTTTTTTATTTGTATCTTAAGATATAATAGAGTATTGTGTTGCCTAGGGGATGAACCAGCATGAATAGAGATTAAGGATGCAAAGATAAAGGAAATGAGAAAAAGAGAAAAATTTTGTAAGGAGGTGCATATGGGGGAGAGTCTGGCGTAGTACAAAATGAAAAATTGGGGATCAGATGGGGCAGGAGGTTTGAGCTGTGTGGAGAGGGTATGGAATAGCAGTCTAATATCAAGGAAGGTGAGCTTTCTTTGTGATACAGCAGAATTTATCTAATTTTTGTTAGATCAGCTGAGGCTCATCCAGTTTTAGGGTTTTATAAGGGACACTGCTGACAATACTTGCTAGAGAGAGGTTATAGTGCTTCATAACCAAAGAATCTGTGAAGAGGAGAAGGGAAATTGTGACAGCAGAGAGATGAGGCAGCACCAACAATAGACTCAGGATATGATAACAGATGATGAAGAAATCAGGAAACTGAGAACAGGGTAATGAATAGTTCATCCACAGGAATACGTTATCAAAAATGCTATGAAGTGGGAGTAGACAGAAAGGCTAGGAGGCAGGCTAATCCTTCAGTGAGGTAAAGAGGGTCCCAGGAAGTCAGTTTATGGTCATAATGAAGGTGGAAAGAAGTGAGTTGGATCCACACACTCAGAGACTCAATAGGGAAAGGATTAGGATAAGGAAGAGGTAAAGAAATTGTCAGAAAGTAGCAAAAAGAATGGAAGGTTGAGAAGAAGAAAACAGTCTTTGCTGGAGCAAAGGAGTGCAGGATTTCACTTCAGAAAGGAAATATAGAGATATTTTAAGAGAGGGCTGGGTTTGATAGCAGTAGAGGACTAGGGGTTAATCACATCAAGCCACTGGATATGATAACAAATGACCAGGGACATTTCATTGGTGACTAAAGTAAAGAACAATATAAAGCATGAAAACTTTAGAACTGAGAATATTTCTGTGTGTAATTAGTTGTTGAAGAGGTGGCTTCCAGAACTGTTGGGCACTCAGGGTGGCCACCAGACAGGACATGGACTCACATGGGCCACAGGCCAGAAAACTCCACTGCTATGGCAAGATAGGTCAGTGAGTAGGCAGGGCAACAAGGAACGTTTGGAAAGGAAAAAGTATTTCTTACAAATGTTGTCTGTTTTGGAAAGTGTTTGCCTCAATATCTGCTGCTGTGATGATTCCTCTCAGTGTTTTCCAGATGTGGTAGGTCCCATAGCAGTGGAACAGCATGCTTCCTCTCCATTCTCTCTCTCTCCTTCTCTACCTCTGTCTCTGTCTTTTTTCTGTCATTTTCTCTGTCTCTCTCTGTCTTTTTCTGGTTTTTCTCTGTCTCTTTCTATCTCCCTATGTCTCCATTTCTGTTTTTCTCTCTCTCTCTTTCTCTCTCTCTCTCTGTCACTCTCACTTACACACACATACAGAGCACAGCACAGCACTAGGACAAGTCTGTGAAATAAAATATTGGGAGATGAGCCAGAACACAAAATGCACTTGATTTTCTGTTGAGATTCCTATGAAACTCCCCATGGTTCCCAGTCTTGTGTTGTCTTGCCCTTGCTTTGGGATGGATTGTACTGGCACAGAAAAATGGGACAGTTAAGGGGTTCCCAGAGATAGCTGTGGTTCTGTGCCTACCAGAAACGAAGAAGTAGAGAGATATGTGAGACAAACCCTAGGTTCACAAAACTTGAAGCAATTTGGGGGCTCTAAATCCAAAAGCTTAACCCTCTCCTTTCTCTACAGTAAGTCCATCTCTCGACCCAGACACTACAAGTTCTAAACTCCTCCTGTCTGAAGATCTGAAAAGTGTGAGCCGACTTTTCTTCAAGAAGGACCTGCCTGACAACCCTGAGAGATTCGACAAGGACCCTTGTGTTCTGGGCAAGGAGCAATTCACCTCAGGGAGGTACTACTGGGAAGTTGAGGTGGGAAACAGGAGAGCCTGGAACCTGGGTGTTTGCCTTGAGAATGTAGGTCGGAAGGGAAGAATTCCCAAGTCACCAAAGCATGGCTTGTGGGCTGTGGAGTTATACAAGAAGAAACTCTGGGCTCTCACCTTCCCAAGGACGCGCCTCCATCCTTCTGAGCCTCTGCATCGGGTGGGCATTTTCCTGGACTGTGAAGCTGGAAATATCTCTTTCTACAACGGGGTTGATGGATCCCGTATCTACATGTTTTCAGGAGTCTCTTTCTCGGGCTCCTTGCGACCTTTCTTCTGCCTCTGGGTACATGATCCTAGTCCCCTGACCATCTGTTCAGTGCCCAGAGAGACAGAGCAGGTTTCTGGCTCTCCACAGGCCTCTGAACTCCCCCAGGAGACCTCTGTGACTCCTGTCAGGGAGAGAGCAGCATCATTCTCAAGAGAAAGTGAACTTCCTTGGACAAGGTTCATGTTCTTGTCACCCCAGTCCAACTCAACTTTCTAGAAGGGACACTCTCTCTCCTAAATCCCACCTCAACCACTTATTAGTGTGACTTTGGACAAGCTAACAATCTTATCTTCATTTTTTTCCTCTGTAAATGATGACAGTAGTAAGTACACCATTGAGTTATTGTGTGACATGAACTTGAGAATGTATGTAAAACATTCAGTACAGTACCAGACACACAGTAGGAGTTCAATCATGCTAGCCTTTCTCCTCACAATCACCTTATCTGACCATCTTAGCTTCCTTACTTCCACTCTTTCTGGGATAGGTTGATGTCAGGCCATGTCAAGGTCAGGGCAAAGACCCCAGGACTCTAGGATTGCCCTCTAGCTCAGTTGTGGTCCAATTGGGACAGTATTTTGACAGAATATACTATAAATAGGAGCTCTGGTAGCATAGTGGCTAAGACACTTGCCTGCTAACCAGACGGCTGGTGGTTCAAACCCACCAGCCACTCCTCGGAAGGAAGGTTGGGCAATGCTACTTCCGTAGTGATACTGCCTCGGAAACCCAAGGAGGGGTCACTATGAGTCAGGTTTGACTTGACGGCACTTAACAACAACAACAACAATACTATAAATAATTGTTAACAAAGTATTGAAGAACTCAAAAGGCAAAAAGAGAACACTAAGGTGTTGTGGTGGTAGTAACTACCAGAAGTGGCTTCTAACCCTATGTCTGGGGAACAAAGAGTTGCTAAAGCTTAGAAGCTCTAAGGAGGGGGTCAGAGAGTCAAGAGGGGAGTTACTCAGTGGGCAGGCACTGGTGACTCTGAGAGACACTGCATGGCTGGATCGGCAGGTGCTGGTAGAATGTAAAATAGAATCAAATACTGTGAGACTGGTATGGCCCTGACAGGGAAGGGATCAAGCCTTTGCCCTGCAGCCTGTATGCTCCCTTTTATGGCCCATTGTCCGATCTAATGCGGAATGGCTGAAGAAACAGATAGTGGTTTTTTTGTTTTGTTTTGTTTTGTTTAATTTTTTATTTTAAGCGTTGGTTTTATTCAACATTACGTGTACATTTAGTTTGACTCCCCATTTGCCATGCCCAACCCTAACTCGGTCTCCTCCCCTCCTTGCCCAGTAACCCTCCCCCACCCTGTGCCCCTCATAGTTATGCACTCCTGTGTGTCCTGCATTTCCTCAGTCTGAATGTTGCCCCTCCGGTGCCCTGTGGTTGATTGCTCCAAGGGATGCATTTCCATAGAGTATGTGGTTGTGTCAGCCTGGGTTGAGTGGTCTGCATGTACATCTTGTTTATTATTGGGCTGAGAGCCAGCTCCTGGGATTGAGTTTTATTCCAGACCCAGAATGTATCCCAGGATCACTGTATTGGGGGTCTCACCAGATTCCATCCGACCATTAATTCTGGTCATTATTGAGTTTTTGGATTTTGTTCCACGTTTTCCCTCCCACTCTATCTAAGATCTCCAGATTTGATCCTTTCCTGAGTGGTTGGCATTGGTAGCTGGGCACCATCTAGTTCTTCTGGTCTCGAAGGCCATCGTGTCCTAGGGCTGATTGCTTCCAAATGCCCTTGTTTTTTTTGAAGAAGCAGATTGTGGTGTGAAAGCCCCAGCCCACACTAGCAACTGGAACAGAAAGGGTAGGAGGGTTAGTTTCCTGAAGCTGCCACATCAAATTATCACAAATGAGATGGTGAAAACAACAGAAATGTATTCTTTCATAGTCCTGGGGGCTTTTAATTCAAAAACAAGATGACAGCAGGGTTGGTTCCTGTTGGAAGCTCTGAAGGGGAATCCATTCTATGTCTTGTTCCCAGTTTCTGGCAGTAGCTCCAGACAACGCTTAGAGGTCCTTGGCTTTGTTTGCATCACTCCAGTCTATGCCTCCATCTTCCCATCACTTTCTCCTGTTCTCTCTCTATGTGTCATCTCCTTTTCTGTCTCTTATAAGGACCACTGCCATTGGATGCAGGATCCACGCAGAAAACCCATGATGGTCTTATATCAAGATCCTTACCTTAATAACATCTGTGATGACCTCTTTTCCAAATAAGGCTCCATTCACAGGTGTCAGGCTCTAAGACTTGGATATCATTTTGGCAGTCATATTTCAACTCACTGCAGTTGGTATGGTGATAAAGGACAACAACTGAGTGACTGACACACCTTTCTACATAGTAGTGCCTTCTGCTTCCTCAAAGTATACATATGAAATAAGGATCTGTTAATGTTTTGGGAAGACAAATATCTCACACAACTGTTGTTGTTGTTGTTAAGTACCATCGAGTCGTTTCCGACTCATAGCGACCCCATGCACAGCAGAACGAAACACTGCCCGATCCCGCGCCAGCCCCACAATCCATGCTATACTTGAGCCCATCATCGCAGCCAC